GAGAAACCCTGTCTCGTAAAAACCAAAAAATAAAAATAAAAAAAAAGAAAGAGAGCGCCGGCTGCTCTCCCAGAGGACCTGGGTTCGATTCCTATCACCCACATGATGGCGGCTCACAACCATCTCTAAGTCCAGTTGCAGAGGACCTCGCACCCTGGTCTGGTCTCTGAAGGCACCGCACACATGTGGCGCACAGATGTACAGGAAGGCAAAACACCCACACTCGTAAAATAAAACAAAAATGCAAAGAATCCTGGACCAGGCATTACCTACTGTGAGTGTGTGTGTGTGTGTGTGTGTGTGTGTGTATGTGTGTGTGTGTGTGTGTGTGGTGTGCATTCTGCCACACCGCTTTCTGAACCGCTGCTGCACTGACACGGATCTCTTGAAAACGTAGGAAACCATTACCTTTTTGTTTGTTCGTTATGTTTTGCAGCACAGGGGATTAAATCCAGGGTTTTGCACATGTTGGACAAGCACTCTGTCACTGAGCTGTATCCTCAGTTTTCTTTTTACCCGTTCGTTCATTCATTCATTCATTCATTCATTCATTCGGCAGAGTTTCTCTATGTATCCCTGGCTGTCCAGGAAGTCGACTCAGAAATCTGCCTGCCTCTGCCTTCTGAACACTGGGATTAACAATGCGTACCAACATATCTAGAGTACATTTTATTTAAAGACAGGGTCTCACTGTTTGAACTTCCCAGGGCCAGCTTTGAATTTACAGTCCTCCTGCCTCAGCCTGCAAGTGCCTGGGACCACAGGCAAGAGGCTGGGGAAGAGGAGCTTTAACAGAAACAGCCATTTTTCTCCATCACCCATGTGTTTTTCCTTTTTCTTATTTTTTTCTTTTGTTTTTTGTTTTTTGTTTGTTTGTTTGTTTTGTTTTTTGTTTTTTTGGACAGGTTTCCCTGTGTAGCCCTGGCTTTCCTGGAACTCACACTGTAGACCAGGCTGGTCTCGAACTCACAGAGAGCTGCCTGGCTTTGCCTCCCAGAGGGCTGGGGTTAAAGGTGTCGCCACTCCTGCCCAGCCCTTGTGTTTTTGTAACCTGACCCGTCTCAATTCTTTTTTGACTCTGCCCCGCAGCTCACTGTACAGAGTGGGCTCTTGCCCATTTCCTGCTTCCCAGTGGCATCTCTCCCAGCCCACCACAGCAGCTGCTCAGCAACCAGCTCCCCGACCTTTGCTATGGCCCAGATCCCTTATCTGCAGAAAGGAAGAATTCCGCAGCCTGGGCCTGTTTCACAACGCTGTGGTTGAGTTCAAACCAGAAAGATGCAGGCAGGACATTTCCAAAGGTACTTGTAATCCCCTTTGTAATTTGCTAATCCCTCAGAGGAGCAAACCAGATCTGGCCCCATTAAGAAAGTCCAGCTCCCAAGTGATGGACTGGCCCCAGCTAGCACATGCCACAGTGCACCTACCTACCCCCCTAAGCTCTGGAAACTGTCACCTACACGGGCATCACATTCCTGCCCAACCTCTGTGGAGCCAAAGGTGTGAATCAAAGCCACCGGATAGCCAAAGACGGCGATGTTATGAAAGAAGAAATAAGGGGAAGTGGATAGTCCCACGGCTTGTCAGTGGGAGTAAAGAAGAAAATGCCAAAAGCGAAATGGAGCACACCTGCGGGTCCATAGGCCAAGAATCACACTGCAAAAGTGTCTTTGGACTCACACCGGAGGGCATGTGTTCTCCGTAGCCTGGGACGAAGGAAGTGGTCAACAGAGGAGCCGGAGGAACAAAGGACTACCACCCAGTGGGGAGGCAGTTAACAGATTGGCATGTTCTGCCTGTCATGCAGAAACCTTTGAACACGGTTGGGAAGGTAGCTCAGTGGGTCAAGTGCTTCCTAGAGAATCTCAGTTCTGATTCTCAGAACCCAAACAAAAGCTGAACACTGAGCCAGGTGTGGCCAGGTGTGCTGCATGCCTTTGGAGGCAGAGGCAGGTGGATCCCTGAATTTGAAACCAGCCTGGTCTGCAGAGTGAGTTCCAGGACAGCCAGGGATACACACAGAAACCCTGTCTCAAAGAAACAAACAAAAATAACGAAACAAAAAAGAAAGCAAAGACCAAAATCAATAAAACCCTTGAGCACAGTAGTTTGTGTCTGGAACTCCGGCACTGGGACACACGGAGACAAGCAGATCCCGGGGACTCACCAGCCAGTGAGTGTCTGGAAAAAAAGGTATGTCCCATATCCAGTGAGAGCCTGTCTCAAAATACGTGCAGAGCAATTGAGGAAGACACTAGACATCAACCTCTGGCCTCAACTTGTGTGGCAAACCCAGCCACAGAGGCACACGTTAAGCACTAACACCAAACAGAAAACCATACTACTTAAGCCAGGCATGGTGGTGCACATTTTTAATACCAGCACTCAAGAGGTAGCCAAACCTGGATCTCTGAGTTTGAGGCCAACCTGGGCTACATAGTGAGACCCTGACCCCCCCAAAAAAATAGAGGGAGGAAGGAAGGAAGGAAGGAAGGAAGGAAGGAAGGAAGGAAGGAAGGAAAGCACATACAATCCATTTCAGGTTTTGTACAAGATGTCCATCAGAGTTAATGAGGTGGCCGAATGGGCAAAATGCTTGCTGGGCAAACAGGACCTGAATGTAAACCCCCAGCACATTAAATGCTGGGCAAAGCTGAGAGTGCACCTATAACCCTAGTGCTAGGGGAAGGCAGAGACAGGAAGATGGCTGGGGCTTGCTGGCTGCCTACCTGGCGCGCGCACGCGCGCGCGCACACACACACACACACACACGATTTTGTGTGTGTATATATATATATATACATATACATATATATGTATATATATATACATGTCTAAAGAGATACCTATAAGATCAAAAGAAATCCCCCCCCCCCCCGTGTGTGTGCTGGAATCCAGGACCTGTTACATGCTGGATAACTGCTCTATCACTGACCTATACCCCAGTCCTGATTTTTTTCTTATAATTTATTTATCTTTAATTTCATGACATTGGTGTTTTGCCTACATGTATGTCTGTGTGAGGGTAGCAGATCCCCTGGAACTGAATTTGCAGACAATTGTGAGTTCCTATGTGGGTGCTGGGAATTGAACCCAGGTCCTCTGGAGGAGCACTACTGAGCCATCTCTCCAGCTCCCTGTTTTGTTGGGGTTTTTGTTTGTTTGTTTGTTTTCTTAAACAACCAAGTATTCCTACCTTTTATACATCAACTTCTTTAACTGGCCCAAAAAAAAAACATAAAACATGAAAATTCAAAAAAACAAGGCTTCCATTCAAGTGGTACAGAACGAAAGTAGCCAAAGTCAACTCCCAGGTCCCTCCCTGCTCCCCTCCGCCCCCGCCCTCCAGCCAGCCCCTGAAGTGAGCTTTCTTCTCCCACAGGAGGTCGGCTACACTCCAGCCAGGGCGGCTAAGAAGCGGCTGTCTTGGACTAGGCGTGTCTTCCTGTCTTCCTTCCTTCACGCCACTCAGCCCCCAACCAATCGCCTTTGGGATTTTCACAAGCAGGGTGCTGGAAGCTGCTCACTCAAACTTAAAGCCCCAAGCTTCTAGCTGTAGGACAACTCAGCCAAACATGGTTTTCCTTCTCAAAGCCCGGGACAAACGCCCCCCCCCGTCCCCCGTCCCACTGACCCGACAGGCATGCGCAGTCCCAACGCTAACCCTCTAACACCCTACCACCTCCACCCCCGCAGACATCCTTAGTCTCTGTGCCAACTCAATAAAGACAACACTCCTAAAAGGAGCCTGAGAACCAGCTGAGACTCCCCTCACGCCCAAATAGGAGAGCAGGGGTCACCTGCTCCCTCCACCCACCGAACGCTGGGCGAGGAGCAGGCAGTCAGCCCACGTGCTGGGTGCACAGGACCGGATCTTGGTGTTGGTGAAACCATAGGCTGCCACTGAGACAAGGCTGCCACCGCTACTTTGCTAGTTCTGATGCTCTGACGGAAAAGGGTTTCCCTCTTCCCCAGACACCGCAAGTCCTGGGACCCTGGGACTTCTTTGCTACCAGACCCCAGGATCTTCAGGTACAAGGGTGGAAATTCCAAAGCACTAGAACTGACAGTGTGGCCACCCGTGGCTCCATCTGGAAGGCGAGCCAGGCCCTGGTAGGTGGCAGCAGCCTAAGAAAGAGCAACCTTCATTCATTCCCTCCTTCATTCACGGGGCACAGTACACGAAGTCATTCTTAAATTCCCAGTAAACAAACCCACCAAGAGGAAAGATGTCAGACAATTCCCTTAACAACAAACAGTCTCTTCTATATCCCAGGTCCAGTTCTAACTAGATGTTCCCTAAAAGCCAGCCTCGGTTTCCCCTTCCGGGGTAGCTCAGAGTCTCAGAAGCATCCTTCGCTGGAGTGTAATAACACGGTAATCTCCAGGACTTAATGAGCACAGATCTGTGCTCAATCGTTGGACACAGGCTCCCAGGGCAGAGTCTGTGGCTTCAACGGCACCGCCCGCCTAGTATAGGTCCCTGGTTGAAAGGGCAACAGGACCTAAGACTGAGTGAGATCAGGAGAGAGGCCCGGCTGCCTACCCTCGGAGACCTGGGTACTGTTTGCCTCCGCCAGAGCGTGGGGGAGGAAAGCTACTTAACTCTCCAGGCTGGCAGGCAGTGTGGGGGCGAGCCAGGGCATCGCTGGGGCATCTGGGCGGGAGGAGCCAGGCAGAGTACCCACTGAAAACTGGGCGTCCATGGGAGCCTACGGAGATACAAGGGCCACCAACTGCCCACTGCCCTGAGGTCACTAGGTACAGTCACCAACCGGGATGTGTAGAACGGCTGGAGTTCAGGGCAGCGGCAACTGAAACTCACGGACAACCAGGCCACACTTCTGCTTCAGTGAGGGTCAGGCCCCTGGGACGCTGGTGACTCACTCAGACCTCCAAGCCTCCGGGGTGAGCCTGGGCCTCCCAGGTGGTGGGAAGGTGGGAAGCGCCACTGTCCCACCCTGCGTCCCGCTCCGCCGGAGGACGCATCACTCACTCACCTTTAGCACTTGCTGTTTGATGAGCGAGGGCATCACAAGGATCATAACCACGCCGAGCACAGCGCACAACAGCCCCACGATGCCCAGCCCCACCGCCACCCAGCGCGCCCTGGCGCTGCCGCCCATGTCCGCGTGTGCGGCCCGGGCTCGCGGGGCTCAGGGCCTGAAGGGGACAGAGACAGAGGCGACGGAGGCCACAGAGATGACAGAAGCCGAGGCTCACGTTTCAGCAAGGTGAGTCCCGGGCAGATGCCGGAGCAGCAGTAGCCCTGCAGGTGGCCAGAGGCTTTATGCGCCATGGCCCGGGCAGCCCGCCCCCTCGCGCAGCGCGGGATTCCGGAGGGGGGTGGGGTGGGCGGGAAGTGGGCGGTGCTCTGATGGCGAGTCATGGGCGTGGCCTCCATCTGGAGCGGCCCCTTCGAGTTGTCGCAGCCTTCAGAACCAGTGCTCAGTGTGCCAGGATTCCCGCTGCGTGCGCTCCTCCACTGAGCTTCCTTGTCTCTCGCTTGTCAAAGTGGGGACCGACGCGCTCTCCGTAGAGCGCAGAAGCCCCTGGCACCTCTGCACTAGCTACCCCTACTCCTTCGATCTCTTCTTTCTCCGGACTGGTGCGAATACCTCTAGCTCCAGCATGCCCTGCCTTGCACAGTTGCAGTCATCTGGGGCCTGCCTCCGGGCCACGCACGCCCTCCACTCCAAATTCCTGGGTCCCTCCGTCCCGGCCTTTGCACTCCCTCCATTCCGTGTCCTTCCCGGCTTTGGATGCTGTCCACTCGGAATTCCATGTCTCTCGGGACCTTTGCAAATCCTCCACTAGGAACTCCGAGTCCTTCCCTTTCTTTTCACACCCTCCACTCGGAATTCCAAGCCGCAGACACCCGCTGGGCCCCGACTCCATCCAGGAAGGTGTTCTAGAGGCTTATCAGACAGTGGCCTCGCCTCGCCACTATGCTCCCTGGTGACTCTTCCTTATCACCCAGCGCCACTGGCTCTTTTGCGCTCGGTTGGGCGTTTTTTTCTAACATAAACCCCACTCGGGGAGGTGGGAACTCTATTTTCCCGACCTGCCCAGTGCGCAGTTAGCTTATGTCCAGGACACAGCCAGAGCCTCTAAGACAAGGTTTCTCAACGTGTGAGTCGCAACCCCTGTGGAAGCTTGAAAGACCTTTTCACAGAGATTGACTAAGACCATCGGAAATATCAAATATTTACATTACGATTCATAACGGTAGTAAAATACAGTTATGAAGTAGCAAAGGAAATATTTCTAGGTTGGGGGGTCACCACAACATGAGGAACTGTATTAAAGGGTCACAGCATTAGGAATGTTGAGAACCACTGCTCTAATCCTAACCGTCTGTGTTACTGCCAAGGAAACTGAGGCACAGGGCAACTTAATGAGGCAAGGCCTGCTTCCTACTCTGGATATCACAAGTGAGAAAACCCAGTCCTACATGTGTTGGGTGTCACTACCTTCCCCAGGCAAACCTCTTACAGACCAGGTCCTTGGCTCTCCTAAGGGTGTTGCTGCCCTGTAAGACTCTTCCTGGGTCACACAAGGATGGCCCCGCAGTGTCCCTGACATCAGGTGCCCCAAGCTAATCCTCCTAAGAATACGGGCCACTCCAGTTCCCGTTAAATCCCAGAAGGCCTTCTCTTGGGAACCACCTTCAGCAAAATGTCCCTACATCGAGATTTACTGAGCATCTGGTAAATTCTGGAGAGACAGCCAAGCCATACTTGCAGCCCTGACCTCCATCAGGGGCATGGGCTAGGAACAGGTGCAGAGGAACCTGGACTGTGAAGAGTCCCGGCCCAGAGCCCCGAGTGCCCTCAGCACCTTGTGCCCTTTCCTGTAATGAGAGGGGATCAGAACTGCACTCAGCTGAGTGCTGGCCATTGGTAGCCGGCCAGCCCTCCCACCCCCACTCCCCAAAGCCTGGAATGTACACTGTAGGACTCAGATGATGTTCCAAGGCCCCACCCACCTCCGTCCCTGGGTTCACTGAACTCTCAGCCTCCTGTCTGTCTTTCTCCTGTATCTAGGTGTGTGCATGTTTGCGGGTGCACCTGAATCTGCCCTTTGAGACAGAATGTCCTACTGGGAAGTCACTGGCCGTCCAGCCCCTGGGATCGCCCCTCCTGTCTCTGCCCACCCAGCAATGGAACTACCAGCATGGAGTTTGCTTGTTTTGGATTTATTTAGTTCAAGTGTGCAAGTGTCTTTCCTGCATGCATGTCTGTGCACCATCTGTGTTTCTGGTACCCTCAGAGGTCAGAAGGGGGCATCGGATCCCCTGGAACTGTAATTCTGGGTAGCTACTTGCTGCCATATGGGTGCTGAGAATGGAACACAGGCCCTCTGCAAGAGCCGCAAGGGCTCTTAACCACTGAGCATCTCTCCATCCCAGAAGCTGGTCTTTTTTTTGAGTATCAGCATATCCCTGGCACCTAGCACCATGCCTATCAAACTACCAAGCAGGTAATAGATAAAAAATTAAGCATTGAAGTTGGCAAGACGCTTCGCTGAATAAAGTCACTTGCTGCTAAGCCTGAGGAAGTAATTTCAAACCCCAGGACCCACTTAATGGAAGTCAAGAATTGACTCCTTCAAGTTATCCTCTGGCTTCCAAGGTATATACACAAAATAAATACATGTGGCCAGACATGATAGTGCACACTTTTTTTTTTCCAACACAGAGTTTCCCTGTGTAGTTTTGGAACCTGTCCTGGAACTAGCTCTTGTAGACCAGGCTGGTCTTGAACTCACAGAGATCCGCCTGCCTCTGCCTCCCAAGTGCTGGGATTAAAGGTGTGTGCCACCACTGCCCGGCTAGTCAGTGCACACCTTAAATGCTAGCGCTGAGGAGGTAGAGACAGGTGGATCTCTGTGAGTTTAAGGCCAGCCTGGTCTACATAGCCGAGACTACATAGTGAGACCTTGTTTCAAGAATAAATAAACAATAAATAAAATAAAATAAACATGGGACTGGAGAGGTGGCTCAAAGGTTAAGAGCACTGACTGTTCTTCCAGAGGTCCTGAGTGCAATTCCCAGCAACCACATGGTGGCTCACAACCATCTGTGATGAGATCTGGTGCCCTCTTCTGGTGTGTAGACTTACATGCCAGCAGGACATTATATGCATAATAAAAAATCTTAAAAATAAATTAATTAATTAAGGCATATACTGCCATAAAAATAAAACAAACATAAAACACTTTTTAAATGTTTAAGCAAACTTTTAGGGAACTCATTCATTCATCACTCATGGACTCACTAATCATTTAATTGATAAAATTTCACCAAAGGGAGCTGGAAAGATGACTCAACCAATGATTAAAAGCACTTGCTGTTCTTCCTGAGAACAGGAGTTCAGCTCCCAGCACCCACGTTGGGCATCTCATAACATTCTTCAACTCCAATTCCAAGGGATCTAATCCCTCTGGCCTCCTCCGGACCTGCACCCGGGCACACAAATGCACACAAAGACATAACTAAAAATAAAATAAACCTTTAAAAATAAGATGTCCTTGAGGCCTTTGAGGCCTTCAACATCCTTCAGTTCTGGGTTGTTTTATTTCTGATGACGCCAGTGGTTCCTGGGAGTTTGCCAGTCAGCGGAAAGCTCAGGTCTGCCAGGCCCCGGCATCCTCCTTCCTTGATACCCACTTGCCTTGACCGTCACACGCAGTCCAAACTGTCTCCAAGCCTTCAAGGTCCACATTTGCGTGATGCTTACTTCATAGAGCTCTGGCCCTGGCCTTGGGCTCTGGGGACCAGCTACATTATCATTGGATGACACACAGAGAGAATGGACATTAAAGGATGGGCAGTGCGTGTGACTAAATCCTGGCCTTGCTGAGAGGAGTCAGGGAGACAACACAGGATGGCCTGGGATGGGAGAGGAAGGTCAATTCCAGGTGCCTGCAGAGAAGGCCCACCCAGGAAAAGGCTTGTCCTGGCTTGCTTTCTATGGCTGTGATAAAACACTGACCAAAGGCATCTTGGGGAAGAGTTGGTTTGTTTCAGCTTACAGCTCACAGCCCATCATTAGGGCAAGCCAAGGCAGGAACTCAGGACAGGAACCTGGGGCAGGAGCTGATGCAGAGGCCGTGGAGGATGCTGCTTCCTGGCTTGCTCCTGGTGGCTTGCTCAGCCTGCTTTCTTGTACATGCGAGGACCACCTGCCTAGGAGTGGCACCACCCACAGTGGGCTGGACCATTCCACATCCATCATAAATCAAGAAAATGCCCACTCTTGCCCTCAAGCCAATCTGATGGAGGTGATTCCTCAACCAATGTGTCCTTCTCCCCGTGACTCGAGTTTGTGTAAAGTTGACAAAACCTATCAGGATGAGGTCAGAGAAAGCATACGTTAGCCACATACTAAAGACCCCATTAGATGTCTTCAGTACAGAGATTTCCACAATCAAAACACAGCTAGAAGCCAGACCTGTCAACTCAGCTACTTGGGAACCTGAGGCAGAAGGATCATAAGCTCGAGGCCAGCCTAGGGTACAGAATGAGGTCAAGGCTAGCAATTCAGTGAGAGCCCATTTCTAAGAGTAAAAAGAGGGCAGGATGGCTCAACAAAAGAGCGCTTGCCTAGAGCACGTAAGTGGCCCCAGGTCCATCCTCAATGCAGAAGAAAGGAATGCACCCAAGAGCTCTGCTGGGGATGCCAAAAACCAGGTTACACACACTGGTGGGCACCTGAGGCATGGTCCAGCTCTGAAGATGGACCTGGAAACTCCATGAGCCCCCAGTTCGGCTCCCAGGTCTGTACCGCAGAAAGAACGCACACACCTACAGCAACTCAGGTGCACAAGTTTCCGTTCTTGTGTTCCACAGCTGTCCAGCCATCTAGCAACCGTCAAATGTGGCCTGTGCACAGGAGGGGATACTGAGTCTCCGATGCATGCTGCCATGTGGATGGATCCAGAAGACACCAGTAAGAGAGAGAAGCCAGACACACAAGACCAGGGTTCCAAATGTGCATGAAATGATGAAAGTGAATCCAATCAGAAAGGGGCTGAAGGGCTCCCAGGGCTAAAGGAGTGGAAGGGACCGTTCAGGGCTTAAGTTCTCCCCACCCCCCTTCCTGCTCTGTCACTGTGCCACTGAATCTTACAGTTTATTTACCTTTGAGACAAAGTCACACTGTGCAGCCCTGGCTGGTCTCAGACTCACAGAGATCTACCTGCTTCTGCCCCCTGCATGCTGGGACTAAAGGTGTGTACCACCATGCCCAAAATCTTCCTCTTTAAATGAGTGAGTTTACCATATGCAAATTATATAATACATAGTATATATAACCAC